TCGCCAAGGCATTAAGTGGGATATAGACTCTGATCCCGCTCTAATGCACTCGTCGGGAACACGGTTCAGGAGGCGGTGCGGTTCCTCTGTGGGCAACAGCGCTGCTTCAGCGGCTTCTGTCTGCTGCGGCTCGGAGGCAGCCGGCGAGCAGGTGGGCTCGGGCCCTGGGCTGGGCTGGGCTGGCACGGCTGCCCCCCCGCCGAGCAGCGATGGGCTTCCTGGGGCGAGAGCCTGGCAGGAGCCTGCCCTGCGGCCTCCAACCCACGGATGCCTCTGGTCCTGAGCAAGCCTGGGGCTAAGGGCTGGGGCAGCCCTGTGGTCACCCCATGTTCCCCTTGGGGTCTTGGCCCAGCCTGCGTGGTCCCCTGGGCAGCCCAGCCCGGCACGCCCCGACTTCCCTGGCCTGTGCCGCTCGCCCTCCCGTGCTCGGTGCCCGCTGGCTGGAGGGTCCCTGCAGCTCCTGCGGCTCTACCCGGCAGCTCTGGTCCTGGCCCCAGCAGGAGGCATCACGCCTCCTGCTGCCCCCGCGCTTTCACCCGCCCCTTCCCTGGGCAGGGTCCGTGCCCACTGCAGGGCTGGGCTGGGCATGAAGGGCCCACCTGGGGCCTGAGCAAGAGGACAGGGGACTTGTTAGCCTGGAGCTAAACAGAGGCCCTGGAGTCCAGGCCTGCCAGGCTGCTCCCCTGGGTCCTCTTTCCTGAGCACACTCCCCCTGCCAGCCTCAGGGGCCCAGCCAGCCAGATGGTGCCCCGGAGAGCAGAGCAGCCAGCTCGGAGCACAAGTGGACGCGAGTGACTGCCGGGCGCGCGTGTGCATGCCTGCATATGCATGCACGTCTGCTGGCCCTGCTGCGGGGCAGATGGCTCCCTACAGACCCGTCCCTGGTTGGGTGGCTGCAGCAGGCTGCCCCTCTGGCACTGGTGCTGGCAGGGCTTGGATGCAGCCGCAGGTGCCTGGCTCTGAACTTCCCACCCGCGTACCCATTACGTGGCAGGGCCGGCTGTGCAGTGGGAACAGGTCTGCAGCAGGCCTGGATGAGTTTCTTCTGCCTGGTCTGCATGTGATGGTGCCTTAAGCAGCTGCTAGCCTTGCTACAGGGCCCATGTGGTCTCTACGTGGCCCCCCTCACTGTGCGGTGCTGCTCAGAGCCGTGGTTGGGGCCAGGCCTCGGGCTCTGGAGCGCCCCCCTGCCTGGCCCCGCCATGCTTGCTGATGCACAGCCTGTGCTGGAAATGCTGCCCTGCCCCTGCCCCACAGCCACCAGCCGGGGAGCCCTGGCCCTGGCGCCTGCTCCCCCAGACCCGCTCAGCCTTAGTTGCGTCTGAGCCACTGGGCAGCGGGTGCCGCCTGGACATCCGAGCTCGTGGCCAGCCTGCTGTGGCCCCGGTGGGATGGGGCAGCTCCTTGGGGCACAGTTCTTGTGCCTGGCACCATGTGTCCAGGCTGCCGCTTTGCTTATCAGCGCGAGGTTTTGCTGGTAGCGGACCCCTACCCTGCCCTCCTTTTTCTTGCACTTGCTCAGGCCTGGTCTCATCTGCCGAATTGTGAGCTTGTCGGGCCTTTGTGCGCCTGCGGCACGTGCACGTTCGTGCTGCCCAACGCGGCCCCTGCGCTGTCTCTGGGGCGCGGGCCCCGCTGCCCGGGCCAGGAGGACTGCAGTGATGTCGGAGCCCACTGCAGCACCTGAGCGCATGTCCACGCTCTCGGGGCTGTGTCAGGCCGTGTGATGTATTAGCAGCTCGGCTGTGCTTCTTCGCAAGCGCTGGCGCCGGCCCCCGCTCCCCCCGCGTTCCCGCATCGGGCTGCATTTGTAAAATGAAATAAATATTGACACGGGCGGGATGCTATTCAATTTGTCCTGATCACTGGGCTGCGGTGAGTTCTGACAGGGCAGAGTGTAAAACATAAGCTCAGGATGTAATTTCTACTGTCAACATGATGTACAGTACAGCTATGCCAAAGACGTACCAACCAACCCAGCAAGCCCGCGCAGGGGGAGCACGGGGGGGCCCGAGCCCTGCTGCGAGCGGGGAAGCCGGGGCCAAGCAGCTGCAGGAAGCTGAGCTGGGGGGGCCTGGCAGTGGGGGGCACGTGGCAGCCAGGGTGAGCGCCCGCATGTTGGCACAGGTGCCTGTGACAGCCGGTGCCGTGTGTCTGGCTGCGCGTGTGAGCAGCGTGCGCAGCCCTGCCCGCCGCCACGTGCTGGGGCGCTGCCATGTGCGCTGGCTGCGGCTGCAGAAGTTCCCTCCAGTAATTGCCGGCTCCGTAGCGCCCGCGTGGCAGGGAAGTGGCCCCTGGGCCAGCGGTGCGTAATGCTGGGGAGGGAGCACCGGCCCAGCTGCTCAGCGCCTCCCGAGCGCCAGGCCCCGTGGCCCCCGGCACCCCACTGGGGAGGGCAGAGCCCAGGGGCTCAGGCACGTGCGCTGGGGGTGAGTGGGGCCACAGCCCGGTTCCAGGGCCGCGCGCCGGCACGGGGCAGACGCTGGGGGGGTAGCGAGAGCAGGGCTAGCTGCTCGCGCGCGTCCTGGAGCTGCGGGAGGCAGCACGGCGGCTGAGCCAGGGAAGGCGAGGTTGCAGTTCCCACAGCAACGCTGGCCCAGCCCCTCGTGAACCGCAGCAGCCCCGACCACATCTCTCCTGCCACCGTCCCTGCTTTGGGGCGTCCCTCATTTGATTTCTTGGCCCTGTGCTTTACCGGGGAAGTGGCCTGAGTGCCAGAGCTGTGCCTCGCGCGTGGCGGTGAC